GACCTGAGCAGTCACACGAGCAGTCACCTGGGGCTCGGACTCTCTCTCTTATTGAATGTGGTGTCTTGTCACCCGAACAGTCACACGAACAGTCACCCATACAGTCACCCGAACAGTCACCCATGAACCCCCAAAACATATAAACACACACGACTTTCGTATGGACAGTCTGCTATAACCGCGGGAGGTGGTAACATTGCGCTGATCTATCTCAAAACTCCCGAAAAACAAAAAAAACAAAAAAAATCAAAGAACACAAACCAATAAAATCAATAAATACATAGACTGCCCATAAGAGCGGCAACACCAATGCACAACCGGCAGTTGTTGCTATCCGGATCACGAGATGGAGTATCTGTATGAGGACGTAAGTTTCAAATGGCATCAGCAAGTACGAAATAACCCTTCTCCACCTTGTCCCCCATTATGGTAGCTATCCATTCGCGTGATGCAATGTCTTGTTGCACAAGCTCCCGATGAACCTCAACCTGCTGCTTAGCGATGTCACGTGTTGCTTCACAACACATTGCTGGCAGCTCTTTTGCATTTACTGAGCGTCGATTCAAAACTTGTCGATCGTGAGCCACTGGGCGAATGCCAGACTCGACCACCGGATCTTCGCCCTCACCATCCATCCCCATCTGATTCAGCGTCATTTACCCCCATTCCATCTTCAAGACACTCCTCTTCCGCCCCTGAATCCATCAAATTGAACAGGTTAATAGAGTCCTTGTCCTTCTCCATCGGGTGTATGATGTCATAACAGCTTCCACGAAGCACAAAGTCGACGTTGTACTTCTTCTGCCTTGTCTGATTCATATCCCACTAGCTCGGCAAACCGGACAAGCTCTCGTGCGCCTTCAATCTTCTATAGTAGTCATGGATCTGGTTGAACTTGTTCTTGCATTGCTCTTCTACATGCTTGTAACCCTTCACACGCATGAGCTCTTCCGCATACTTTCAAAAACCAGATTTCAGCCTTGTGCAGCCGTACGCTTCAGTCTCTTCCCCCATCAATGTTTTCACCTCATTTCGATAGCGGCACAACCACTCAGTTCCAGTCTCGCCCCACCAATCTATATTCTCCTCCCCCGAACTTGGTCGTGGAGGGTGGCCCTCAGATGGCCCTCCCGTAGACGTTCCCAAGCCTTGTTCTCCGGCAAGTGGTGTGTGAGAACACCCATCCCCGGTCAGTGGGGACGGGGTGCCCGCAGCTACACCTCCGGAAGATCCACACCGGGGAGGTGTGTGATGCGACCCGGACTCCATGGTGAGTGGGGGCGGGTGCCCGCAGCTACCCCGCCGAAAGATCCACACCCAGGAGGTGTGTGCGAGGGGGTCGTTTGCGAGGCAACAGCCTGACTTCCACCACGCCCAGCATCCACATACTCCGTAAGGAGGACACCAGCCTCTATGTCCTGGATGATGTGATTGAGGACGTACTCAGATGATGCAGCAGGTGTATCCACACCGAAGAGGTGTGTGCTAGGGGGTTGTTTGCGAGCCAACAGCATAACTTCCACCACGCCCATCATCCACATACTCCGTCAAGAGGACATAGAGGCTGGTGTCCGGGTCGCATCACAAACCTCCCACGTCATCTGAGTACGTGATCAATCGCATCATCCGGGACATTGAGGCTGGTGTCCTCTTGACGGAGTATGCGACCCGGACTCCGTGGTGCGTGGGGGCGGAGTGCCCGCAGCTACCCTGCCAGAAGATCCACACCGAGGAGGTGTGTGCTAGGGGGTTGTTTGCGAGAACAACCTGACTTCCACCACGCCCAGCATCCATGTACTCCGTCAGGAGGACACCAGCCTCTATGTACCGGATGATGCGATTGAGGACGTACTCAGATGACGCGGTTATGACGAACCGATTTCCGCACGGCGTGATTTTCTGCGCGGTAGCGACGAGGGGTCCTAAGCTGGGAAGGATGGCCAATTACGGGAGATTGGAATGGATGGGAAATTGCATCGGTGTCCTCGCTTCTTCGTTTTCTTGCATCAGTTCCTTTTGGATGGCATGTTCAGGCCAAGGTGGGCCCCGGGACGATCACTTGGTTGATTGGATGTGTGAATGGCGCGCCTCCGTGCGCGCGAATAATAAATGTTGATGTCGCTTTTTTGTTTCGGTTGTGGACTTTTGGGCGCGGACATCGCGCTGGAATTCTGCTTCGTTCTTTTTGAATTTTCCTTTTGAATTCTTTTTCAAATCTTGTCGAGCCCTAATGGCTCTCGGAATCTCGGACTTTCTTTTGGGAGTTTGTGCTTTTTGCTTTTCCACATTAGATAGGAATTTAGGAATTTTCCAATTAGGACTTTTTTCTGTCGCGCGGCGCTTTTTGCTTACGCGCTTCTTTGTGTGGCTGCAACGAAACTTTGATTAGTCGGCGCCTTTAATCGTGTGTGTAACTGTAATTTTGGGCGGGCGCCATTGTAATTGTATCCCTTCTTCTTGTACTTCGTCTTTCCAGTTCTCGCTTTCTCTTGTTGTGTCTAGCCAGCCCGCGGACTGCATGGCATTGCTCGGATCGATGCATGGAGAGAGGTAACGTCCCCCACGCCGTGGCCCGGCGCTCCCTTTCCTAATCCTCTTTCTAGGTCCTGGTAATTCCGTGTTCTTCGTGCATGCATGCACGCTATAAATCCCGGCCACGCGATTAGATAGCTCTCTTAACCAGCTGTTGGAAGCTTGGGGTAACGCGATCAGTGAGGGTCGGCTCACGAGCGAAGTAAGAGGTGAGTTGAAGAGGGAGTCGGGCAACCCGACGAGCTGGTGCCAAACGCGTGGGGTTTACGCGGGCCACGACGGACTGTGGGCGTGGGCGAACCTGACGGGTGCAGGAGGACTAAGCGGGGTGACGACTTTGTGGGTTGGTGCGTGACAACGGACTGTCCCATCGGAGAGACAGAGAGAGAGAAAGAGGGAGTTGAGGTTGGTGGACGCGGGTTTGCTGTTTCTTTTGTCTTTTCTCCCTCGTTGCTTTTGTACATGAATTTTGATCTCGACTCGGGGCGATTCGCCCGTTCTCTTTGTTTTTCGGAATCTTGACTTGGTCTCGGCCCCCACTTGCTTTTGCGTTCTCGGATATTTTGTGTTGTGCTGAATGAATGAATGAATGGATGAATGGATGCTATGTCTGTTTGTTTTTCCTTATGCCTGATCTTTGCCTTTGCTTGTCGTTTTGATACACTCATGATCATAATAGGAAAGTTCGCATAATCCTCACTATTGTTGTTGTTGCTGCAAATGAGTAATAGCACCTTGCATATTCCGGAATGATTGCGTAAGGATTGCAGAGTGATTAGATGATTGGGTAGCTGTTTGACAAGCGAATACCTTGCAGGGATGCGTGTAAGCGCGATCTGGTCTGCGCACTTACACGTGTCCGCTCGCATCGATTCGTAAGCACCCATGCATGAAAGGGCTAACGACTGCGGGAATACTGAATGACTGGATGTGGTCAGTGTCCATTTTGCATGCAACGGCGTGATCACCCCGAGTGAACACGTGTAAACGTGATCCGAATCGCACAGCCTACGAGTACTCACCCGCGGTAATTCGCGACAGTTCGAATATTAGGATAGGCACGGGCGAACACGCGCTTAGGAATTTCTTGGCTCCACGATGATAAAACGAATCACTCCAAAGACTCAGATTCGTCGTGGGACCCGGAGTACTTCACCCCTCGGATAGAAGAGTGTCTCCGACAGAGGTTCCCCTGCTTAACCGAGAATTGACTGTGTCCTAGGGAATCTCATTGTGCCACAACTAGTGATCCACGGTGCCCTAAATTCCCCACTCCGGACCACACACACTACTTTATTTCCACCAGTTTCGTCGTTATCTCCACTAACTTCCCTCCCTTCCGTCTTCTTCTCCCGTATCAACTCACAGTCGTCCCGTGGAACGCCATAGCCCCATACTGGTCCTGCACACCCTGCGGAAATTGTCGGCGACGCAACAATCAGAGAACCCCGGCACCCCGAGGGCCTAACCCGAACATGCGACGACCGACGCCACGTGGCGGCATCCGATAGCCTGACTCATCAGAATCACACCCACCCCGGATGGACCTTTCGTCGAACCACCGCTATCAAAACAGACGGTTCGGACAGCCTTGACTGATCCGCGCACGCCATCGGCCTTTTGACCGGAAGCGGTCCGTCCTCTTAACCAAACTGCACTCGTGCCCCCGAAAAACTCTGCCACAGGAGATCTCAGTTCTGACCTTGGACTCCACCCCCACTTTCCCAAAAATCCTTGGCACACCCCTTTTCGCACTTCCAGGCCCACATCCTACTCCGATCACGAAGTCGCGCTGGGCGTGAGGTTGGTATCAGAGCCCGACACGTGGCCGGGTTATAAGACTAACAACACGATAATCAGGCGATTTGGCTAACCGAGGGCGACCTCGACTCCGGAGTGCACATAAACGCGACCCTGTCGTCACTAGAAGCAGGTCGGCTAATCAACGGGCCGTCAATATGAATGCTAATCAGCAGAACCCAATACAGAACCCGAATCCCCAGCAAAATCCTAATCAACCCGTACCACGTGCACGAACTCCTATGATGCCACCAGATCTCTATTTGTTTGATCATGCGCATCATCTTGTTGGAGCATGGTTAGCTACGCTCCGAGCACAGCAGTATGATGACAACGAAGCTCAGGTGAACATCCCCGCTCAGCTAGGAGGGGACGCCCATCATTGGTTCAGTACTTATGTATGGGTAGATCTTACGACCTACGAACGAGATTTCCTAAATCGATTTGATTACATCCATCCGGAACAAGCGCTCTTTATGATTAAAGATCGAGTTCAAAAACCTCTTGAATCTGTTACGGAATATCGAAACCGGTTTTACCGAATGTTCGTGAAAACGGAGCGAGGTGAGCAAGTAGGAAGAGATTTGTTCATCAATGGACTTCGTAGCCGAACGATAAGGGCGAAACTGCGGAAAGAGTTTTCCCCTATCAATCATACGCTGCAACAGATTATGGCTGCTGCGGAAGAAATGGAACGAAAGTTCGCGGCGAGTTTCCTGGAAGGAGAAGACTATTCTAAGGAAAGAGACTCGTCCGAACTTGCGAGGGTCAAGGCTGAGCTGGCTGCGTTGCAAAACAAGTTTGAAAACATGGGGTTTGTGTCAGGTCCTGTTACCTATCTGGAGCAGATATCCCCTAAACGACCAACGCCGAGCGTGATTACGGGTATGCCCGCCCCCATGATGCCAGCACTGGTAATGACGGTACCCCCGCCACCGATCGAGAACCTCGTACGGTCGAATAAATCAACTGCCATTTTGGAGCTAATCAAAACACTAATTAGCCTAATCCAAGAAAACAAAAAGGAACAGCGGGAGCATAATACTCGGTTGGAAGCTATGATGAGAAACATGCGGCCCATCGCAGTACGTGCCGCCCCAATCCAACAAGGTCTGGCCCCGGCACCTTTTCTCGGAGGAGCCGCGGGCAATCTGAACGTCTGTTATGCATGCCATCAACCGGGGCATCTAGCCCGAGATTGCCCTCACTGGCCCCCGCAACAGCGAGTCGGAGTTGCGCCAATAGTTGCAGCCCCCATCGCTAACGGACCTGGACAGGTAGGAGCCCTGATGAAAGAAATGGAGGGAGAAGGAAGTGCGCTAGCTACCTCAGAGGAGGTTGCTGAGCTCATTCCATTAGATTAATATATATCACTTGGGTATTCGATGCTTGGAATGATTGGGACCATCAGACCGGTGCCGGAACAGAAAGAAGTGGCGGAATGGCGACCGTCTCCAGGAGAGATGGAGTCGAGAGGACCCACTTTCGTCACTGGCGAAATTGACGTTCTGAACATCGTTCGAGCATTGGACCATCGGATTCCTCTTCCGATTGGCCATCTACTTTCAATATCAGAACAGGCTAATGAGCGTATGTTGCAACACTGCAAAGTGAATCAGAAGCGATTTCAAGTTGCTCTCGCCCGAACAACGAACACAAAAACGAAAGGACCAATATCAAACGAAAATGCCGCAGGCAGCTCCGATCTCATACGCACAGGGCTAATACATGAAGATGATCACTTCTTGCGAATCAAACCTATCCCATGGAAATCCGAGGAATGCGATATCGTAGTATGGGGAGTCCCGTATAATGCAATCATCAATTCAGGAGCGGCTGTCTTGGCTATTTCGCTACGAGTGGTTGAAAGAGCGGGAAGGAAGAACGACTTAATTATGCTAACAGAAAGAGATCAACTCGTTTCCGCAGACGAAGAAAAGATTAAAACGTTGGGGCGGATGACCAATGTTGCATTTCAATTAGGGAAGGTGCATGCTTTGGGAGATGTCGTAGTATTAGATGTCAATACTTACAATGTTATTTTCGGCCTTCCCGCCCTGGTAGCACTACGAGCTAACCTGGACTTCGAAAGACGATCGATTGTCCTCCGAAATACGGAAGGCAAACCCTATGTTGTACCAATGAGACCAACGGAAAAAAATTCCAGAATTAAATAATCATTCTATAGTAAAATTACAATCTAAATTTTAAATTTTCATTCCATCTTAAAAAATGTCATTCCAATTTTAAAATTTATCATCTTACTTGCAAACTTTCATTCCAAGAATAGGGTATCCCTTCTTATTTGGACTGCATGCTAGAGATGGAATGAAAGTCTGGATGAGTTAATGAAATATTTTAATTGGACTATTACTCTAAGTAAGGATTTTCAGTCATAAATAGGTTAATCCAATCTAAATTAGAAGATATTTGTTGGAGTAAAATAAAAATTTAATTAAAACATTTCATAAAATCGTCCAGACTTTCATTCGATCTTGAATCAATAGATGTAGTTGGAAGGGAAAACTCATATTTAGACGGGAACTAATCAAATAAAACTGAAAATTTTAGAATTTGACGAACATTGAAATGATAATTTATAAATATGAAGGGTTTTTTTTTTAATAATGTTTTTTTAACTTTCATTTCTCGTGGGAATTTTTCTGTTGACTGACTCTACATACTACCGCCAACGCAGCCCCTCGAGTTTCTCCCTCAATGATAGGGACCCTCCGCATGATTACCTGGGATAACGGGCGAACAACCAAGGACGCAGACAACAGCGATGATGATGACGATCCGGAAATCCTGAAGATGGCGCGAGAACGTATTTGTTACCCCATGCAACAGATGAATGTTGAAGCCCTAAACAAAACTAACCAAGATTTGCAAAGAACTCAGGCAATGATTATGGAAGAACCTCTCGTACAGATTTCTAGGATGGTTGATTCTTTGGAACCCCCTCAAACACTGTACGAAGGAATCTCCCCTCTTCTCGTCCGATACAACGACAAAAGGCACTACTGCAATATCACGGACCTTCCAAGGTCTCTGCCGACACCTACGAAGGAAATCCGATTGCTACGCTTAGAGGCGGAGATCAACTCTTTGAAACCCCCTGAGCGCCTCGATAACGGGCTCGGAATCAAGATTGCCACGAAACCTGTGTCATGGCAAGACATTCGAGACGGGGTGACACCTGAAGAACACGTGGCCACATGAGAAGAGGATGCACAAATGATGGCCACGGTGTTCTCCTGGCGATCCGACAACTCGTTCATCTCCACACCCCCGCCGGAAAACACCAAGCGAATGAATACGAAACACATTGATGTGCGGATATGGGAAGAGTCATACGAATTATACGTACCTCGATACGTACCTAATGAAATCCACCACCTAATCGCGGACATCCTGAAAGAACACAAAGAAGCGATTAATGTGACAACACGGACATTGGATTGTCGTTATTCAGATGGGAAATCATTCCCCAATTCACTGCAAACCATACCGATATTCGTTGGTGGAAAGGAAAAAGTATCTCGAACGGATTCGAGAATTCGAAGCAAGCGGTTGGATTGAACCCGCCACCGGACCATGGTCATTCCCAGTAGTGTTAGTGGCGAAAAAGAATGGATCCATCCGCATATGCATTGATTATCGCAAGCTGAATGATATCACGATCAAAGATGTGTACCCCCTCCCCCGGATTGATGATTTGTTGGATGCGATTGGGTGTGCTAATTATTTCAGTAAGTTTGATATTCGGCATAGCTTTCATCACATTCAGGTTAAGGAGGAAGACCGGCTGAAGACGGCCTTCGTACTGTTTGAAGGCACATGGCAGTGGGTTCGATGTCCGATGGGGATCTGCAATGCGCCAGCCACGTTTCAACGGGCCATGAACGTCACGTTCCTGAACTTCGTCAACAAGACTTAATTGACGCAGGGGATGATCAACTTATGCGTCACATCCTAGTTTATTCAAAGACCTATCACGGTCATGCGCAGCATATCGAGTGGACATTGGGCGCCCTACGAGACGCCGGATTCAAGATTGCGCTCGTTAAGAGCGAATTTTTCCTCTCGGAAATTTCGTTCCTAGGCTACGTCGTGACACGTGGAGGACTGCAGCCTGACTGAAGAAAGGATGCAGCGGTGAAGGAAGCTCATGTTCCCACGTCACTGACGCAGGTTTGAGCCTTCTTGGGGCTAGCTTCGTACTATCGACGGTTCATCAAGGATTTCGCCGCGATTGCGCGACCCTAATCGAATCTGTTACGGAAGGATCAGCCCCTTAGTTGGGACGCAGAATGCGAACGGGCCTTCGCGACCCTCAAGGAAGTCCTAGCAACGACACCTATTTTGATCTGACCGGACCCCTCGAAGCAGTTCACTCTCATCACGGACTGGCAGTCGGAGGCTATTTCTGTTATTTTAGCGCAGAAGGGGAACGATGGTCGAGAGCATGTCATCGATTATGCGTCACGAACTGTACCAGACGAACGAAAGAACAACTCCGCTCCACAAGGCGAATGCTATGCGGTAGTGTGGAATCCAGCACTTCCATCCGTATCTGTACGGACAAAAGTTCCTCCTTGTCACCGATCATGAGCCCCTGTTAGCGTTGAAGAGACTCTCTAATTACACGAGCATGATTGGCCGATGGGCGGTGCGCCTACAGGAGTACGACTTCGACATTATCCACCGAAAGACGGAGAGACACGGCAACGCGGATGGGCTGACACGTCTGCATCAACCAGCTAAAGTGCCTAAGGCAGAAGAGATCGTCCCGTGGAAGGAACCGGAGTCGGTGAACGGGCCCAAATACGGACAAGTGGCAGTTCTCCCTCGTGGCAAGAAGCAGGCGGGTGGCAATGGGTGACGGAGGTAATCCTACAACTCCTCTCTCTCCCCTCTCCTCTTCATCTCTTCTCTCCCTGCCTGATAAATTTTGTTATTTTTGTAAAGCAATTTCTCGCGTAGACTCGATCTTTATGTGCCTTAGCGGAGAGGGATATGTGGAATGGGTAGGTTGTCGACAATGTGTCGCACGAACCCACGGCTCGTGCATCCAATACCGGAACAACAGCAAGCCTTGGTTGTGCCCCTTGTGTCGGGTTGATAAGATCCCGACCGACGCTCGCTTTTTAGATGCCACGTCAGAAGGATTGGAAAAGACCCGGAGGTTTAGAAGGGCCGAAGTATGGACGGATATCGCCTTGATTGCTATTCTAGTGGGTAACCCTCTCCATGACTTCACCAAGGAAGGTCGGAGGAGGGTCAATGAAAGGGCTCGAGACTACAGCTGGAATGAGAAATGATTGGAAAAACAGAAAATGGATGGTAGTGGCATTTGGATGGTAGTGGGATTTGGATGGTAGTACCGCACCCGTTCATGAGGTATGACTGGGTGAAGACAACGCATGAGGAAACGGCTGCCCACTTTGCCATACGGATCACGGAGGCGGCGAACGACAAAAACGAGTGGTATTGGTCCAATATTCGTGACGATGTGAAATTCATCGTCGCGAATTGTCAGGTCTGCTCCACTGACAAGACACCGATTCAGCCGCCAAGATCGATAGTACCGATGGTAGTTGAACTGCCTTTCCAAAGGGTTAGCATGGATACTAGCGATATTGTGGTGCCTCCTGGACCTAATAGCTGTGAATATTCAATCCTACTCGTGTTCGTGGACCATTTCTCAAAATGGATCGAAGCGTATCCCTGTCGTACGCGACAACTGGCTAAGATTGCGCGATACATCAACCGGTTTTTAGGGATGCACCAGGACACGGAGGAAATTCTAACCGACAATGGGGTAGAATTCATGGGAGAAGTCTTGAGAAATTTGGGCGTACACGGCGTCGCTGTTCGGAACACCGCACCCCACATGTCGCAATCCAACGGGCTAGTAGAAAATGCCAATAGGGTGATAAAGACTGCTCTATGACGCAATATCGCGGCATGGGACCCCAGGCCCTGGCCCGATATCGTAGATCACATCTTGGCGGTCCATCGAGGAACGCCCCACGAATCAACGGGCCTGAGCCCGTTTCAGTTAAGGACCAATAGTGTGGCTTGTGTTTCAATATCGAGCCTCCCAGACGATCTTCGTTGAACCGACGGCCCACAAGGGCCACGGTTCGAGACAAGGCCAAGTGACACCCGGAACTGATGGAAAGGTCTCTGCCCCGATTGGCCCGAAAACGCAAAAAAATGACCGAGTTGGCCCACGGTCGCCATTCCGTAGTTACGAGGCCCGAAACGGGAACGCCGGTCCGTGGCCCCAATACAAATTAGGGGACTTGGTGCAGGTGAGGAAATGTGCTCACCAAGGTAAGCTAGCGCCACGATTCTTCGGGAGATTCTGAGTGATCGAGCTTGGACCAAACGGAGTGAACACCGTGCGCCTCGTGCCGGAGGTCTCGAGAAGCCGATCGGCGCGGCTGATCGTTCGCCACATGTCGTACCTGCGTCCCCTCCCTTCTTCCCCATCTTCTGCACCCTCTTCCTCTTCCTTGGCTACAGAAGCAGACGACGACTCTCCATCGCCTTCTTCCTCCCCTGCATCCCCCGTCTCTTCTCATACTCCGTCCCCTCCTCCATCGCCATGAGTTTTCTTACAGAGCGAGCTCTCGGCGATCATCTGCTCACGCCACGAGGTTACATCTCAGTGATTTGGCAAGTTCGCCATCCACGGTTCAATCTGGATCTTCTACGGCTGGCGCAGTTCTTCTGCACTTCGGGAGTGTACGCAGCAGCCGAGTTCCGCTTCGCGGGCAGTCCTAAGGCGGTCGTGCTGGCAGAAGCGGTGGTCGTCCATCGGCGGTCATCTCCGGGGATTAGCCACATGTCCACGGTCGTCGGCTTCAACGACGATATCAGTACGGTTAGTGCGCTACGGCATATGGCCATCCGGACGTCATTGAGGGAGTGGGTGCAACAACTGGCGACAGAGTGGAACCACTGGCTTACGCGCCACAGAGATAATATTTTCCCCACGGACGGCATCAAGCTCGGTGGCATTCGAGCGTTCCAGCACGAGCCAGCGGTGGTGCTGCCGGAACTCATCCCCTTCCAGTATCCCCGATGAACCGCTCCCAACTCTCCACCTTTGCTCTCCCATCTCTCTTTCCCACCTTCTGGCAGTCTGGTGTTCATCCTCGCCTCTCCTTCTGCCTAGAGCCGCTCGCTGTCCCCCTTCTCGATCTCACGCAGTGAAGGCGCTGGCGTGAACACTTCGTTGATCTTTCGATGTGCCTGATCGGAGTACGAATCACATGGACCAAGGACGAGGAACATCGCGAGTGGTTTGAGTACTTAGAGTTGATCGTTCAAGCCTGGAGGACCGACGTGGAAGGCGATCTTCTCGGATTTTTGTTCGGATCGGTGCACCCCAATCATCGCCAGCTGATCGCCTTAGAGTTGACGGTCCCCCTTGCACAGTTAGCAGATGATCTCCCACTTGAGATCGTCTCGCAGAGTGATGAGAGCCCGGTTCCACATGTCCTCACGCGGACTCTAACGGCGTATCTTCAGTGGTCGGCATGCTTAGAGGAGCCAGGAACCAGCCGCAACCTGCCGTCGCAGCAGGATTATCTGGACCCACGGGAGATCATCGATCTCACCTTTTTCCAAGATCGGGCGGCCTCCGAGGACGAAGAAATAGAGATCAAGGAAGAAAGCGTCGAGGAAGAAGAAGAAGCCACCGAAGAGGACGCGGAGGAAACAACCCCGGAGGAAGGCAGTTATAGTGAGCACAGCGAGGGAGATCAGAGTGAAGGCGAGGAAGAAGACGAGGAAGAAGAAGAGGAGTTAGAGCTGGAGGAGACTGAGTGGGAGATCTCAGCGGAGGAGCTCGAGCGAACAAAAGCAGAGCAGGCGGAAGACCCCGAAGCGGTGCGCAAAAGAGACGAAATCGCGGCCGAAAAACGACAGCTGGAGTTCGCCAGCGTGGCAAATTTGCCGATCACCGACGATCTGGCCCGCGATCCCGAGCCGCCTAAGCCTGAGGATGGAGAACAGGCTGAGACTTCAAGCTCACCGACAGGGCGGCGACGAAGCCGATCCCCCTCCCCCTCCACCTCCGACCAACCATCAGTTCAAGCCCGTACCAATACGGGGCATCGGGCTTCGTCCACGGTCGTTATCCCGCAGTCCCCTTGACTACCTCACCATCCATCAAATCACCACCCGTGTCACCTTCCCCCATAACCCCTTCCCCATCGACACCTTCCGATTCTTCTACGCCACTCGCATCGTCGTTACCGTTCACCCCCATCCCTCAACCCTATGCGCCCTCCCCGATTTCTACCTCCATACCCTTCTCCTTAGTGTCGCGTGGCGAGGCCACAATATGATCGAGGTTTATTGCATGATTACGGGGACTATCCCCGCATGCGAAAACCACGATCATTTTCACGCGACACTTTTCCGCACCTTTACCACCCTGTATCCCGGCTATCTCGCCTCCCTTCCGCACACTGGTAATCGCTTCCCCCGTTTCCACCGAATCGTTCATTACCAGGAGCTCACGGAAACAGTAGCCCAGGTGGAACGATTATTACCCCCGCTTCCGATTAACACTCCTCCTCACCATGCCCCCATGTACCGTCTCCCCTTCCCCCTTCCTGGTGGACACTGACGATCGGTGATCGGTGGATTGGTGTGTGTGACACGGCGATGGCATGAGTAATCCCCTCCTTGGATTGACGAGAGCCCTCCTGAGGAACTTGTAGGAAAGAACTTGCAGGCCAAGTTGGATGACGTCCACACTCTTTCACACGGAAAGTGGCCATGCAGAAAGCTTCTCGCATCGGTCCATTAGAGAGATCGACACGTGTCAAGATTCAAGCAAGCAGGATCTTGCTTAAGATTGGAACCCCCTAGGCGTCGCATATGTGACAAACCGATTTCCGCACCGCGCGATTTTCTGCGCGGTAGCGACGAGGGGTCCTAAGCTGGGAAGGATGGGCCAATTACGGGAGATTGGGATGGATGGGAAATTGCATCGGTGTCCTCGCTTCTTCGTCTTTTTGCGTCGGTTCCTTTCGGATGGCTGGTTCAGGCCCGGGTGGGCCCCGATACGATCACTTGGTTGATTGGCTGTGTGAATGGCGCGCCTCCGTGCGCGCGAATAATAAATGTTGACGTCGCTTTTTTGTTTCGGTTGTGGACTTTTGGGCGCGGACATCGCGCGGAAATTCTGCTTCGTTTTTTTTTAATTTTCCTTTTGAATTCTTTTTCAAATCTTGCCGAGCCTTGGTGCCTCTCCGAATCTCGGACTTTCTTTTCGGAGTTTCTGTTTTTTGGTTTTCCGCATTAGATAGGAATTTCGGAATTTTGCAATTAGGATTTTCTTCTGCCACGTGGAGCTTTTTGCTTACGTGCTTCTTTGTACGTCTGCAACGAAACTCTGAATAGTCGGCGCCTTTAATCGTGTGTGTAACTGTAATTTTGGGCGGGCGTGATTGTAACTGTATCCCGTCTTCTTGAACTTCGTCTTTCCCGCTCTCGCTTTCTCTTGTTGTGTCTAGCCAGCCCGTGGACTGCATGCTCGGATCGATGTGTGGAGAGAGGTTACGTCCCCCACGCCGCGGCCTGGCCATGCAGAACGCAGGCGCTCCCTCTCCTAATCCTCTTTCTAAGTCCTTGTAATTTCGTGTTCTTCACCCATGCATGCACGCTATAAATCCCGGCCGCGCAATTAGATAGCTCTCTTAACTAGCTGTTGGAAGCTCGGGGAAGCGCGATCAGTGAGGGTCGGCTCACGAGCGAAGTAAGAGGTGAGTTGAAGAGGGAGTCGGGCGACCCGACGAGCTGGTGCCAAACGCGCGGGGTTGACGCAGGTCAGGACGGACTGTGGCCGCGGGCGAACCTGACGGGTGCGGGAGGACTAAGCGGGGTGACGACTTCGTGGATTGGTGCGTGACGACGGACTGTCTGCATCGGAGAGAGAGAGAGAGAGAGAGRAAGAGGGAGTTGAGGTTGATGGACGCGGGTTTGTTGTTTCTTTTTTTTTTTCTCCCTCGTTGCTTTTGTACATAAATTTTGATCACGGCTCGGGGCGATTCGCCCGTTCTCTTTTGTTTTTCGGAATCTTGACTTGGTCTCGGCCCCCACTTGGTTTTGCAATCTCGCATACCGTGTGTTGTGCTGAATGAATGAATGAATGGATGAATGGATGCTTTGTTTGTTTGTTTTTCCTTATGCCTGATCTTTGCCTTTGCTTGTCGTTTTGATACACTCATGATCATAATAGGAAAGTTCGTGTAATACTCACTATTGTTGTTGTTGATGCAAATGAGTAGTAGCACCTTGCATATTCCGGAATGATTGCGTAAGGATTGCGGAGTTATAAGATGATTGGGTAGTTGTTTGACAAGCGAATACCTTGCGGGGATGGGTGTAAGCGCGATCTGATCTGCGCACTTACATATTTTCGCTCGCATCGATTCGTAAGCATCCATGCATGAAAGGGTTAACGACCGCGGGAATACTGAATGACTGGATGTGATCAAGAAAAAAAAAAAAAAAAAAAAAATCAGTGGTCATTTTGCATGCAGCGGCGCGATCACCCCGAGTGAACATACGTAAACGCGATCCGAATCGCGCAGCCTACTCGTACTCACCCGCAGTAATTCACGACAGTTCGAATATTAGGATAGGCACGGACGAACACGCGCTTAGGAATTCCCCGGCTCCACGATGATAAAATGACGCGCTCCAGAGACTCAGATTCGTCGTGGGACCCGGAGTACTTCACCCGTTGGATAGAAGAGTGCCTCCCACAGAGGTTCCCTTGCATAACCGAGAATCGACTGTGTTCTAGGGAACTCCATTGTGCCACAACCAGTGATCCACGGTGCCCAGGTTTCCCCACTTCGAACCACACAGACTACTTTATTTCCCCCGGTTTCGTCGTTATCTCCACTAACTTCCCTCCCCTCCGTCTTCATCTCCCGTATCATCAACTCACGGTTGTCCCGTGGAACGTCATGCCCCATATGCGGAAATTGTCGACGGAGCAACAATCAGAGAACCCTGGCACCCCAAGGGCCTAACCCGAACATGCGACGACCGACGCCACGTGGCGGCATCCGACGGCCTGACTCATCAGAATCACACCCACCTCGGATGGACCTTTCGTCGAACCGCCGCTATCAAAACAGACGGTTCGGACGGCCTTGACTGATCCGCGCATGCCATCGGCCGTATGACCGGAAGCGGTCCGTCCTCTCAACCAAATTGCACTCGTGCGCCCGAAAAACTCCACCACAAGAGATCTCAGTTCTGACCTGGGACTCCACCCCCACTTTCCCAAAAATCCTTGGCACACCCCTTTTCGCCCATCCTACTCCGATCAGGAAGTCGCGCTGAGCGTGAGGTTGGGTGTCACACGGTGTCGGCGCGAATACCCTTACAAGGGTATCCACCCTGGTTTTCGCAAGTGACAGAAAATAAGTTTTGTTCGGAATTTGAGCACCTTGCGCGAGTCGCGGTTGCGTTTTGTTCACACTGACCGAATGGTTGACTACGAGTAGAGAGTGTGTGAATGCGCAATTTTGAGGTGCACTTGATGATTCTTATTTTTTTGAAGCTATAGAGTCGGCGTTTCTGCCGGCAAAAATTTGGCTTTGATTAAAACTTGGAAAGGTTTTCTTTTATTGAAGTGACCGTGGTGCACCTGCATCCATACGGCGTGTGTCATAGGAAGTGGTGTTGCCTTGGGCAGTACGTGGGGTGTGCAAGAGAAAATAGAACACAAGCGGTGGCCTCCGCGCGGGAAATGCGAGAGGTTGACAGTTGTGGATGGGGCCAGGCCCTATGAGCAGCGGGCGTCATAGGTCGGCAGTCGTGAGTTTGGTCTGTAGGCGAAGGAGTGGCCTTGGGGTATTTTGGTAGGTCCGCGTGTTGTGCGGCAACGGTTTATATTGAATTTTGCAGTGGTCCATCTCAACCTTAGGTACTAGCACTATTGGTAACAGCATTAGACTTTCAAAGCGACGGTACGAGGATCGAGGGCGGCAACCGGCGGGGATGGAACATTGGAGCGGCTGAAGATGCCGAGGGGTTTAGGGCCCGGCGGGGCTGTCCCCTTGGTTTTGCGCCGGTCCACCTGTGGGCCCGGTCTGTGGAACCGAGAGGGGCACCGACGACCCTCCTTCCCCAAAAAGCATCAGTTCCCGATACTTATATTTCTATTTTTACTTTTATGATTTTAGTTGTCGGCCCTGTTTCTGGGATGCGGCACCAGCATCGGTACCAAGGTTGTTTGCGGGGTACCGCCCAACGTGGGTTGAAAGGGCCCGCAAGATGGAAGACTATGCCTGGGCGGGGCCAGGGGGGCACCAGTAAAAGGTTGCTGCAGTACTGGCTGCAAGGCCCAAGCTGTCCCAGCAGCAGGCTACGTCGGCCTACAAAATTCTCATTAGAATATTTGCTACTATCGCCAAGATTTGCATTGAGCCCGGCGGGGTGGTGGAGTAGGCGTGAGCAGCCATGGCCAGGGGAATACACCACTCGTTAACCTCAGCCTGTTGTAATAAGTGAGAGGGTTGGCTGTGAGCAGGCCTGTGGGACCAGCAGTTGCAGACCCAACTCAGTTGGTACAACCACAAACTGCAAATAGGCCTGTGGCCCTGTGGGACCAGCAATTGCGGACCCAACTGAGTTGGTACAACCGCAAACTGTTGATAGGCATGTGGCTGTGTGGGACCAGCAGTTGCGGACCCAGCTCAATTGGTACAACCGCAAACTGTTGATAGGCATGTGGGCTTGTGGAACCAGCAGCTGCGGACCCAGCTCAGTTGGTACAACCACAAACTGTTGATAGGCCTGTGGCCCTGTGGGACTAGCAGCTGCGGACCCAGCTCAGTTGGTACAACCGCAGACTGTTCATAGGTCTGTGGCCCTGTGGGACCAGCAACTGTGGACCTAGCTCAAGTGGTACACCCCCCGAACTGTTGAAGTACAGGCCTGAGTTCGAGCTCAACTGGAAGCAGACGAGAAAGGAAATTATAAGGTTTGTGTGAAAGTATTCATGGTTATTTGAACATTTGTTACGGAGGCTAAGCGTACCCCTAAGTTAGGGCGGTCTGGTCGCATTGCCTTATGTATCTTAAACTGTTTAGGCTAACTAGGTGTACCCCTAAGTTGGGGCGGTCTAGTGATATGCCTTTTGTCGTTAATGTTATGTAG